AATTCCAGATAATATTCAGCAAAATCACATAAAAAAAAGAAAAAGTGATTATTTATGTTCTAAACCTTAAACTATACAGGCCTTCACTGTCAGATTAATAATCTAGTTTTACAAATAATAACTTATTTTGTTTGTATAAAATAATATTTTTTCTGTATTTTAATCAGCAAATAATATTTACTGTATTTAAAAGATAAATCAGTTTATTTGTCGGTGAGAAATGGTGATTTATTCTATTTTTTTAAAAATTTATCTTCCAGATATTTTCAGAGGATTAATTTACATGTTGATTGGAAGAAAAAAAAAACTCTTAATCTCCAACAAAAATTTGTATTTATATAAATTGTAATTATTATTATTATTTTTTTTTTTACAACACTTAATTGTAAAATTACAGTTTTACTGTATTTAAATCAGTAAAAAAAATATTTTAGGGGCTTAAAAATGTAAATTATAATTTAAAGTTCTATCCAGATTCTTCCTGTTTTATTAAATCACAGATAATATTTCTGACAATCACACTAAAGTATTAATTTACATTTTCATGCTCAAAACAAAAACAAGTCAAACATCAGAATCCTGTTCACGTGTCGACTCTGGATCTCCACCAACACTGGTGTGACCTTCAGGCTCTGCAGGACCGGTCCACTCTCATAACTTTAATGTCCTTTAATGCCGTTTCTCTCATGATACAAACTTCAATCCGATTAAGAGACGATTATTAAATGACCGGATCTGGAACAACAAACTAGATCCAGAATCTGGACGAACACTCGGAGCAACAAGTGGATCAGGTTTCTGAGTCTATTCCCTGAAAGCAGCGCTGGACGGGTCCAGAGCTGCACGGTCCCCCCAAACCAGGACCAACTCTGATCCTGAACCAGTCAGAGGAGGTCAAAGCTGTAATGAGGCTGAAAGCTGCTGGAGTCAGAGGAGAAGCTGACGGGTTGATGTCACCGATCACGGGCCCACGTTAACCAGAACCACCACCGTTTATCAGACGTCCAGCTTCAGGCTCGGTGTCGGATCCTCGAGACGTTCAGGTCTGAGGAAGAACCACCACGGCGTCAGAGCTGCAGACCATCTGAGGTCAGCGAGTGCTCACCTCTGATCAGCCTCTATTTTAGGGTTCAGCGCTGCAAAAGCCCAGCAGGACACTGGACCGGATCAGAACCGCCTGCAGTCGACAGAATCTCACACCGTCGGGGAAAGAAAGGAGTTTAAAGAAGAGTTTGGACGGAGCTGCTGCCTCCTCAGAGCCTCAGCTGACCTTCAGGCCTCCACACAGAGCATCGATCGCTCAGTGGTTCTGAACGTATTGATCCAGTATCCGGGACACGAGCTGCTGCAGAAGTTACCTGGAAGCCCGAAAAACCCAAACCTGGAGCTTCCTCAGGACCGGAGTCACTGATCAGCACCAGTAATGTTTAGCGGTGTTGAGGCGCTGAGCTGCAGGAGATCAGAGGCGGTCGGGTTCACCGGATCCATGAAGAACCGAACACGGAAACGTCTGCATCA